TCTTGATGGGCAATAATTACATCGATTCATACACAGACATAATAACAACAGTATGAGATCTTTTCACAATGAATACACATCAAACGTAAAGTATACACGACGACAATACTTAGTGAAAAAAAAAGTAAGAAAAATCAAACAGTCATAATATTTGTGAGTTTTAACGATATGTTAACGATGAAATTACGTGAGAGGGAACATCTGACGGAAACCGTTAAAATTAATGAGTTTCGAAGGAGCCGGAAAATACATCGCATAAAATCGGAATATTTGAACATTTTCGAAACTTTCCAGTTTTGCGATCCTTTTCAAAGAACTCGATCATAGTCAATGCAAACGATGCCCAATGACTGTTGTTGTTGTTGTTGTTGTTATCATGATAAAAGCGCACGAAATAACACAAAAACTTTTATGTACAAGGAAAACAATGGAAAAAAGGCTCTACAAGAGAGAAAGAAGCTCATTCGGCAGAGAGAAATAGACCAAGAGATAACTAGCAAGAGAACAGCACTGATATACTGATTATCACTGATTAACTCTTATCATTAGGATGAAAAATGAATAGATTTCAAAAGAGCTCAGTGCTTAGAAGAGGACGATTGATCAATAAAATGGTTCGATTCATCCTTCTTTACATAAACTTTCTCAACAATCACCTTTGTTCATATCGAGCAAGCATTAATTACCCCGAATACTATCTTCTGATGGAACATAATCCAGTAAGTCGATTCAGGGTATCTTCTTACACCATCCATCATTGAAATGTTGCATGCTCATACCGCGATATTGCGCTCGGAACACATATCGCATGCAAAACACTCCATAAAAGCATCAGTTTCAGAACGTAATTTCTTTACGATTACGAATGCAACAATCCTATGATACTCTTTTTCGTTTTAACATTACAACAGTTGAATAATGAATAAGCATTTGAACAGACAAGAATTATTCAAGTTAAAAATGAATGACCCGTCAAAATAAATTTCTATGTGTTTCTCTTCAAACGTCAACAATAATCAAATGAATTGTCTGAGTTGTATTGTGAAATCCTGTAATGCGATTAACAACTGCTGAGGAGTTGGTCGGTCCCTATAGTCGAGTTGCCAACAGCAATACATTACGTTGTATCTGAAACGGTCGAATGATATCATCGAAAACGGTGAAATGTTTGGAATGCAGATGTTTTCGATAGGAATTCGTAGCAGATTTGGTTAGAATCGTAAAATGAACGGCTCTCGATGAGACAATAAATCTGACAGATTGATTATCATGAGATAAATTCATTGTGAAGCATTGAGCTTGTGGTAAGTAAGGAGTGAAAAGAGTAAAAGTACGTACAGATCATCAGGACAATTATAAGGCTGCACAAGCCGTTGTCCTTGTTCAAGGATTAGAATCATCTCGTCCGGATCTACGTCCACATACGGTTGCTGAGCACATGAAAGCAGCTCCCACAATGTCACACCAAATGACCACTGAAAATGGTCGATGATGGACGTTATTTGTTTGTTGATCACCACTTTATACGAGTGAAATTTAGAAGGGGAATCGGAACATCGCAAGAACCATTGGTCTGAGGAACTGTGTTAGTTATGCGCAAAATTGTCATGAAAAAACCCCAAGAAACAAATGAGAGAAGCGTATATACGATAAAGAATTCACGACACATTGAGAATCTTTGAGTTTAAACGTTTCTGTACGGATTAAAAATGAGACAACTAACCGCATCAGTGGCACTATTGAATATGTTCTTTTGAAGCGATTCGTAGGCCATCCATTTGACAGGACGATTCTCGTTATCACCAAGGCAATGATAGTCACTCGGGAAAAGATCCTTGCTCAACGCCGTATCGCACAGCTGTACCAGCAAACGATCACTTCCACGACCTATCTCAGACACCAGACAATTCCTGAGAAATTCAACGATGAATTTCGCGAGTTCATTCATTCATTCATCTTGAATGTGATCGAATGCATTCACACTTCAAATCACATGCTTATGTAGGTACAAACATACTGTTTGCCAGTGTAAATAATTTAAAACTCAGTATATATGAGTTATCTTCTCTTTCAGTGAAATTGTGGCCAGCAACGTTATGAACGCTGGATAGCCTGGCCAATCCAGGTAATCCAGGTAAATTTGAGTACCTTGTGGCTATATCTTTATGTATGATGCCATATTTATGCAAATGCAACATTGCTTTATTGATCTGAATGGCCATCGAGACGAGCTCATGTGTTCGCAATGTTTGAACCGGTTTACCACCTAAAATACAGCTTTGATCTGAATTTATCAAGCAACCACTAAAACCTTAGCAATTTCACAAGTAAGCTAAACTTGTTCACGTAAAGAATGTACTAAGTGATAATCTGTAAAGTTCTGAGCCCGAAACATGAATATACCAGAATAGAAGAATATCGCAGGATTCTTCTATTAGAGTGGTAATTCTGGATGAAATGTTTCGCTCGAAAGAGCAACGGAACTTTTGAAATGCTTCATTGAATCATCAAAATTTTATCGAATCCAACAAATTTGATCTGGAATGAAATCCGCCAAACAATGAAATTCGATAATGCGATATTAACCATTGGTTTTATGCATCATCGCTTCCACATTCCCACATCGACATCGTTGTAAGAAACTTTTCAAATTTCCGAATCCCTGATGCTTATAGCATATCAAAGGGAAGTCAGTCACTGTCTCTGGGCAATCGAAACGACCGTAAGAAGCTGCCGCTGCCACCTTAACAAAAAAACATATCGAATACACATAACAAGAAACCAATAATAATAATAATACTTCTTTTTTTTCTGCAAATGATGCGATCAAATTGTACGTTTGTTTCGATGACAATCTTTTTGATATGCTCTGTGTTTTTTGTGCGACGATTTTTCCAGTTTCCAAACGACACTCATAAAATTTTTATGGGTATTTTGATGGAGGTGAAAAATAATTTTCTATTGTTCGCAGATGCTGGTTTCCAAGGTACACACACACACACATACATGTATGCATGCATTCATGCAGGTGTATGGATGAATGACATCAAAATGAATAGTAAATAGTTATTTGCATGTTTCAAAGAGGTATGTGTAAATTCAAGGTAATCACTATAATCAATAACAATCGCGAATGCATTGAATGAATGATACATTGCGTTTTATAAATAGATCTGTTCGTTGAAATCTATTTTTGCAGGCGACTTGTATTCATATACTATTTTTAGCTCTATGCGCTTGGAATGCGAACCAGAAGTGAGTGATGGCTTTTGAAGGTATACGAAAAAACGGCAGAATTACCTCATAAGCAATCAAACAAATATTATATCATGAAAAGAACAATTGCATATGGATTATGTTGAAGGAAATAGGAATTATCGTCTCTGATTTGTTGGAGAGTGGATCAAAGAAAGATCAAGAAATTTGGATGAAACTGTAGATAGTTTGCGAAAAAATAGGGAATTGTTGAATAGTGTTTGTTGATGAAATGAGAACGAACTTGAGCAAGGTGTGTGAAAGGTGGAACATGATGAAACACAAGTGCTTGTTCGAGGAATTTGAAGAAGTGTCGTTTGTCAGCGTTCGGTTTGAGTGTTTTCACGATAACCGCCTCATCAGCGGATGCGTTATCTTCCTCATCGTCCACATCACCCGACTCGTCGTTTGCGTTCTGATGCCACAAAGCCCATTTCAACTCGCCAAACGTCCCCTCTAACTCATGTATCGGCAATATCTTAAATTGCACATAACCATTAAAATTATCGTTATTTTTAGGAGTTGGTTTGATTGCTACAATTAGTTCGGAGCATAATTTCATGACGGCAAACGTATTCGTTATCGACTACAAACCTGAAATAAATTTCTATCAGCATAAAGTTCCACCAACGCGGCTGTGATGTCAACGGAATGCGAGCGTTCGTTGATGATCGAATGTGTATTATCGGGTTGCTTCGATGCTGAAGATGCTGAATATAAACTATTCTTGAGGTTCTTTTCTGGACTATGAAAATATTTGACGTCCTCTTTCGTTTCAAAGTCAAGAACTTTATGATGATTTGCGTGCGATTCGTTATCCTCAGAATAACTGGTGAAATGACAAATTTCGAGAGTGCTTCACGATGTATTGCAATGAAAAATGGAAGTGAATTTTGTCGTCAGACGCATGAAACTTAAGCAAGCAAACGAATAAGGAATTACTCGAAGCAGAAGCCTCTGAGTTGAACAACGGTCGAGTTTGAGCCGTAAAATCTGGTGATCGAGTGATTGATCTGAAAAAAAAGTGTTTATCTGCTTGATCCGATCAAATGACTGATCTGAATGTTTACGAGTAATTTTACAAATCTCAGATGGATAACAAGCCATGATAAAAGGCGATTGTGAATATAAACTAACGGATAACGCTGCTGAATGTTGTTCGGCAAAACGGCAGATGGTAATTGCTTTCTTGTTGATCTGAAGTACACAACGACCAAAACAGCTATTACTAAAATAACCGCTCCAACACACCCAATCACCATGTAGAAAACGTTCTCACCGGTTATCATTACACCTGAAACTTAAAAATACCAATATCCTCAGATCCACAAACATTAAACTTCAACTGCTGTCATGATCAGAGCAAATGGCTCATTTCAATTCTCATAATTGCATTATTAGAATAACAAAGACAAAATCCCAAATATAACATGTTTCCCCTTAATACAGCACAATTAAAACAATTAGCGAACACGATANTCAGATTTCCCATTAAATCTGCGAATGGTAATGAGAAGGTGCATGTTGCAAATATTGCTCCTGTCTGCAGTATCAGTTTGATATCAGCTTTATTTACTACTTCTTTGGCAGATCACAATTCATAGTGTCAGATCATTTATATTTACTGATTAATGTTATTTTATCGGTGTTATGAATCTCTCGTGCTGGTGAATCGTGATTATGGAGCTCTGCGATTTCGTTTCAAGAAATATGAAATTCTCGATCGGAATTAAACCGTATCATAGCAACTATTCAAGCTTTGACCACAATACCCGTTGTGGCACAGTCACTGAAAGTGCTCACGTAAGCAATTTC